ACACAAATAACAAGAAAGTATTATCCGTGCGCACGGTCGATCGTCACTTGTTTTAGCTCCACGAAGGCAAGAGAAAACAAGTGTAACGTCAGTGTTCCTTTGGATCTCAGTGGTGTAGGACGTATTCTAAATCTCGGGAGTAAATCTTTTGTGTTAACTTTGCGTTTCGGGACTTGGATTGGCTTCGAGGAGCAGATTTTTTGATTTTGGTGAGTCACAGAATAGTTTTTTGTTGTCACATTACCGTCCTAAGCGGAGAAGCGGGACGATTATCGATAAAAATGGGCAGTCGTGTAAGTTTTAGGTTTCTGTTGACGTTTTGCCTTTGACCTCAAAAACCTCCACATATTTTCGTTATTTAGAAGGGAGTGTGGCGTCGCTCGGCATTTTCCGGACGTGTTTTTGGTGTCATTTCAAGGCTGAAATAATCCTTCAGAGGGAAATGACAGGGAGGGACGAGAAAGCTTTCGGACACGCTGGATTATCGGTACTTTTTTGAAAATCGTCTGACAGAGGCTGGTTACAGACTCCCTCGCATCATTCAGTACTCGAGAGGGAGGAGAAGAGAATGAAATAGAGAAAGAGAGAGAGATAGGGAGAAAGAGGTGAGAAGATGAAGAGAAGGAGGTGGAGAGATAGGAGAGAGATAAGTAAGATGGAGAGAATGAGAGAAAAAGAGAGAAAAAGGGATAGATTTGATAGGGATAGGGAGTAGGAGAAACAGAAAGAGAGAAAAGCGTAGGGAGAAGGAGAGAGATGATGTATGCAGGGAGAGAGAGAGATATGGGATTATGGGGTGAGGGAGAGAGGAGATATGAGATGGGGAGAGAGAGAGAGATATGGATATGGGGAGAGAGAGGGAGATGGATATTAGGAGAGAGGGATATAGGGTGAAGAGAGGAGAGAGATATGGATGTAGGGAGAGAGAGAGAGTGAGAGAGATGAGAGGAGCTGAAGTAAGAGTAAAAGAAGAGAAGGGAGGAGGAGTAGAAAGGAATGGAGAGAAAGTGTAAAAGAAAGAGAGGCATGAAAGAAAGAGAGAGAGTGACAGAAAAGTGGAATGAGAGGGAGAAAGGGTGAAAAGGAACAGAGGGAAGGAGAAAGAGTGGAATGAAAGAATGTATGTATGTTGAAAGGGAGGGAAGAATTGTAAAAGGAATGAAAATGGAAGATTAATATAATGGTATTCTGGAAATAGAATGACATATATGACAGAGAGAAAGAAAGACAAGAGGAAAGGTGAAACAGGGAAGGAAGAGTGAAAGTGAGAAATGAAGAGAGGAAATGTGGAAATATGGAACGAAGAGAGAGAAAAATAGAAAACTGAAAGATTTAGAGAAGGAAACAGAGTCAGAAAAAGAGAAACTGAGGGTATGAGAATTAATTGGAGAAAGGTAAATTAGGGAAGAAAGTGAGGACGGGAAAGAAGCAAATACGAAATGTTGATTTAATGGGAAAGAGAAATAGAGAAATAACGCTAATGATATCATAATTCAGTGAACAGGACAGGGTACTGATATGTATCTTAGGCTTAACACAGGTGACAGCCAAGTGAATAACTAACATTGAGAGATTTGTTTTCAATTAATGTATTCTTTTTTTTTAGCCTCCTATTTATGGATATTGAATTTGAATTTACGTTTGTTTCCAGCGAGAGAGAAGGGAAGATATTATTTATGCTATTGACATGTTTGGAATTTCAAAGCTTGTTGACAAAAAATGATAAGAATGAGAGTATTGTTTGTAAACTTCAATTCTTTAAAGAGATACTTAAGTGTCGTAAAGTTATATGCACAAGTTGCTGTAATGTTACCAGTCTATCACTTTAGCAATGGTTGGTGCCACAAGAGCCAGGAGCCAGGTATCAATACCGCTACAAGGAAGAAAGTTAATTGGAAGGAATGATAGTACATTTTTAAGAAGGAAGAAGACTACTCAATCTGGAGTATTTGAGTCTGGCAACTAGCCAGTTTATGCTGCGAATAGTTAATTAAGATCTCCATAGAAGTACAACTTTTGCATAGCAATCTTAGACTACAATGCTTTTTGGTTGATAATCAACATTCATCCCTTGGTAAATATGTAGATGATGCTGTTGTGGCTTTGAAAATGTTTCTTTTAACTTTTATTGTCAGTGTTGTATGAGATACCAAGATCTGTAACAGACTGTGTAGAAAGTGAAGTCCAACTTGATAGTTGTGCAGTGTCAAGGGACTGCTACAACCTCTGCCCTTTGTGCTCTAGCAAAGCTCGACAAACCTCCACCAGTATTCTAGCAAGACAAAGCTTCGACTATACCGTACTTGATGATAAATCAGCAGAAGGAACTGCAAGCTTTTTCTTGCTGGAATATATGTGGTGATGATTTGTTGGCCTTTGCCAGAGTACTGAGGAGAAGGATAGATGCTCAGATGTCATTTTTACATTTTTCCATATTTTTATATTCAGTATATGAAATATGTGCCGTAATTTTGTGCTCATGTCATTTTAGAAGAGATTCAGATGCTTTGAAAGTATTGTTAACTAATTCCATGCAATTTATTAATATAACCATCTGATACATTACAGTTTTGTGATAATAATAAGATCGTATTTCTATGATAAAATAATATCTATCCTTTTTTGTAAATGCTATTTTGTATGGCACAGACAAAAGACATATGCCGACATATGTTTTGGCATCTGAAAAAAAATCCTATTATACTCACAAAACAATAAAGTGGCATAATGTCCAGTCAGCTTTGTGTTTTAGATAAATTTTTTTACAGTATTTATGCAATGAACATTTGATGTACTTTTAGAGCACATTAGTATGAAATGAATTTTTGTAAAAGTTTGAGTCTTCATTCATTTTTTACTTGGAGAAGATGGCTTGGGCAGATTGAAAAAGTGTGGAAGAAAATAATTTGTATTAAACAATATATTCCTAGACAAGTTACATTTAGTCTCTCGTTACTAATCTTTGTATGAATAAAAATGGGGGGAAATCTGAGTATTGGGCTTATTTTTGCAAAGCTCACAGGAGATCACTCTTTGTGATATGTAATGAAGACTAGTCATGAATTTTGTTCCAAAATCATGGTCTTGGTCGTGGCAGTTAATGTTGCTCAGTGTTTGACATTTGGATCATGCAGCAATCATTAAAGGCTATTTGCATTTTAATGATTTTACAGCAGAGAAAAAAAAAACAATTGAATCTACTTTTCAATGTTATGATTTTGGAACCTGATATGATTTTCTAGTCATGATTGATGGTAAGTTTGTATTTTTATAGATGTGGAGCAAAACTGTCATTATGATGATATTGAGATAATAAACCAAATGATTATTAATAAACCAAATTGGAGAGACATGAATAAAGTTCTCGTGTGAATGTCTGTGCTGTATCAGTATGTAGGCTAAAATATTTCAGAGTGTGTGCTCACTTGTAATGGTTGTGGAAAGTTGATCGTATCCCATTATGACTGTTTGTGTCACGGGTTCATTGTCAGGTGGACGGTTTAATTGGTGATTTCAGTAATGTATCGGTTGGTTAGAGCGCTGATGAGGTGGTTCATCGGTTGAACGGTTCAAGGAGCTCGTGGTTTCTTAATTGAAGGGAATATTTCTATATACAGTGTGACGGCACTCTAAGCTGTTTGTTGGGATATCTATCTAAAAAGGAAGTGAGGACGCGGGGACAGGCCAAGGCACTCCTTCCTGCCTGTTTCTACCCAGGTTGGGAATCTTGGCCAGGTGACGTAATGTGCGATAAGAGATAAGGGCTGTGATAAGACGGATGTTCGGATTCGTAGCTTCGCTAGTCGAACACGGCGCCAGCGAAGGGAGGGTGGCAAATAGAATATGATGAAGACATATTATATGGCACTGAGAAGATGGGCTTGACCTTCCCTCGCTTAGTGCTTCTCGCTTCGTGAGTCTCTTTGGTATTTGACGTCAAGAGAGAGAGAGAGAGAGAGAGAGAGAGAGAGAGAGAGAGAGAGAGAGAGAGAGAGAGAGAGAAGAGAGAGAGAGAGAGAGAGAGAGAGAGAGAGAGAGAGAGAGGGAGAGAGGGAGAGGGAGAGGGGGAGGGGGGGCAGGCAGGGAGGGTGTGTCGTATTCTCATTAGAGTTGCCTGCATTAATTGT